CTTTATATGTTTGAAGAACTGAAATCTTTCTATTGAAATAAACAAAGAAACATGCTACATCCATATTAGACTCAGTACAGAGTACATCTATATTGAACATTATTATAGTTCCAAACAATTCACTTTATTAACACAAACTGGACACTGTTTTCTTTCATTCTGTAAAATTGTGAAACATTACATGTTGGAGTTTTGTAAGTAGCATACCTAACAGATCCCCCTTGTTGGTGATGTATGGTCTATTTGCATGTATATTATAATCTATGGCTGCTAGAAGATTGTGCATCCTATAAACAGGTGGTGTGTAAGCAAATCAAATCTTTTGATACAATACATCAAGATGTGCTGATGAAACCCCTCCATGCCAGCTGTACTTCTAAAAATGAATACAAATAATGGAAAGATATTTTCATTTAAATGATTTTAGTAAGGAAAAATCCTTTAACATTAACATATTCATATGCTAGATATATATGTATGTAAATAATTATCTTTGAAAAGATTTTACACAGCTCTATCCTTCAATTGATAAGTGCAATAAAGGTGCCAATTAATTTATACATAATGGTTGTAGGTCCATTTGCGTTAACATATAAAGGTGTTGTAAACATTGAAATTCTATAATCAATAGACATATGAGCTTTGTATTAATCAGGACATATACTCCTTTCCAGTTAGGAAAATAAATCCTTTTAAAAATTTCACTCCAAACTGCTAGCATATCTTTACAAAGATAGACATATCTCCTTTGCAGAATTAATGGTTCCAACATTGGAGCCATTGGCTTCAACTTTTTTGATTGGCCAATCTGGTGGTGCAAACTAAAATTGCTCCAGGGGGAACCCTGTCAATATAAATTTCTTTTATTGTACCTGATGAGAACATACCTGCAGTTGAGATATTATGTCATCTTATTCAGAACACCAGCCAGATCTTTCAGACTATGTGCATCTTATTTCCTTTGCAGCCATGGTTTGTTCTGGTTTCTAATGGGCCATGATTGTACTAGGCATTGGTGTATTCCATCATCTGAAAACAGAATCCATTCATGCTCAATAACTATAAGATTGATGCAGACACTAAAATATATTATTCCCTGAAATAAAATATCAAGACAAATAAGCATGCATTAAAAAATGGCAAAGAAGTCAGCCCAGGGCCAAAACACCATTTTTGGGGAAGGGGCCTCAGCCTTTTTCTTGGGGAAAATATGCGTGATTTTGGCATACTTTGGGAAAAGGGGTCTCAAATTTAACACAAACTTTTAACAAGGTCTTCAAAATAGAAAAGCAAAAAGCACTGAGAAATACAAATAAGGCAGTAAAAGACCTTAATTCAACACCATCATTTAACTTTATTCTAAATTCTATGAGAAATTTCAAAAGACTGGGGAATTTTGAGGACCAAACTGGGGAAAAAAAGAGGCTAGTTTGGTTGGGGAAGTAGCCTATATTCGGCCTCTACAAAGAAGGGTTTTTTGGCCCTGCAGCCTTCAACAAGTTTCATGAAACATTACTAAGCATTTCACATTTATTTTACATATAAAATGCTTACCATAAACCTATGAAGTATTCCACATTATGCATCAAAACATCTTGCATGCATTAATTTTCTTGCAACAAATGACAATTATGTATTGCTATCTAGAATTTTATCTAAATATTTCTTGAGCAACAGAATAATCATATAAAATATCAAACATTCAAACAAAATCAAATATATAATAATTGTTTACTTACCATGAATAGTTTATAGTCTGTAGCAGTTTTATAACTAAACCAGAAATGAATGGTTGTGTCTCAATTCAACTCCAAAAGGATTTTATTGGCTTTCTTTAGTGCTACCTGAAGATTAAACCATAACTTGCTTAAGATTTAGAAGAAAAAAAATCAATTGTGGAATTCCTTTTCATTTTAGCGAAAAATATTCTACATAAGAATTGTATATATTCAGTCTTCACCAACATTTACTATAGGACATGAATCTGCCCTTGTTATTAACAACAAATACAGCAGTATTGCATGCAGTGATAACACCAGTCTATTAAAAATTCTTAGTTTAAAAGGGATATAACTTAAAAAAATATTGCTTTCACAGTCATTGAATTTAAGATTTTGAGTTCACTGGCCCCAATTCCCGTTTTGAATTTATTCTACTATATATTTAACTACATTTTCTTAAAATTTACACTGGCCCAAACTAATTTTCACCGGCCATGGGCCACCAGGCCAGTGCTATATTCAATGACTGCTTTCATAAGAACATGTATGCTCCCCTGTTTAACAATTTCAATTTGTCCTGATGAGCAAGTCTTTCAAGTTTCATGATGATACATTTCAAAATATTTAAATAATGCAATTGTATGCCAACATAGCAATCTGACATAGAATGTAATAGCTTTGAAAAAAAGCTAGAAATTAGTAATTTATGATGTTTGATTGTAACTAAGAAAGTATACTCCACTTTTGAGGAATCTGTAACTATTTTGTTGTATGGTCTGAGAATTGACTACATGTATATCACAGAATCCTTTCCAAAAACCATATATGAGCCGCGTCACGACAAAACCAACATAGTGCGTTTGCGACCAGCATGGATCCAGACCAGCCTGCGCATCCGCGCAGTCTGATCAGGATCCATGCTGTTCGCTATCAGTTTCTCTACTTGTTATAGGGTTTGTAAGCGAACAACATGGATCCTGATCAGACTGCGCAGATGCGCAGCCTGGTCTGGATCCATGCTGGTTGCAAAACCATTATGTTGGTTTTGTCATGACGCGGCTCATATATATTTTTTCACAAGTGGATTTAAGACCTACAGTATAATGACCCTCTATTATTTTTTCACCTCAGTGAACAATTACCTATAATAATATATGGAGTCATACAAATATCAAACTCATCATTTAAGATGACACCAAAATCTTTCAATTGGACCAAAATTAACCATGTAATGCATGTTTTTTTTCTTCTTCTAATACAGTATTATATGCCACTTAAAAAATGTCATAATTGTTTAATATTTAAATCATATGAATATCTGATCATGATATATATGGATCACATGTTGACATGTATATATCCATTAATTGGTTCAATAAACTAATAAAAAAACATGAATTCAGCCGTATATAAGATTCCGTGGCCGAGTGGTTAAGGTCGTTGACTTCAAACCACTTGCCCCTCACCGCTGTGGGTTCGAATCCCAACAGGGACTTTGGATTCTTTCATGTGAGGAAGCTATCCAGCTAGCTTACGGAACGTCGGTGGTTCTACTCAGGTGCCCGTTCGTGCCTGAAATAATGCACGGAAGGGCATCTGAGGTCTTCCTCCACCAGTAAAGCTGGAATGTCGCGATATGACCTATACTGTGTTGATGTGACGTAAAACCCAAAACAAACAAAATATAAGATTAATCAGTTTTTATATGAATTATATAAGTAAATTAGTTATAAATGCAAGTATATAGTTATATAGCAATTTTGAAAGGTATTATTATAACCTGTCACTTTCGACAAAAATGGTGTACTTCCTCTCCTCTGCATATGCACTGAAGTCCAGGTCATCTTTGATGTCCTTGGTAGTGGTATTGCAACACATGATGATGATGAAATTGACTTATTTCTGTAATTGAAAATATAGCATACTAGTACCATGGCCTAAAATCTTGACTATTCAAACCAATTACAATACATGAATTGCTGCACTGCTTATAAGGAAGAAGGGTTGTCAATAAGAATTATCTAACGTTTCCAGCACAATTATGGTTATTGTCCATGATTATTTTTCAAATTGTGAAATGCTGAAATTTTACTGCAAAAATGATTCAAATGAGACAAAAATATTGATTTTCGTGCGATTTTCCAGACAACATTTTATTTTTTCTACTTTATTTCTTTGAAGATTCAACAACCCTGGATAGTAGATCAATATATCATACTTACGGGCTTGTTATTGCTTAAAAGTTAAATGTCGGTCAAGGTTGCCCAAAAGCAAAAATATCTCAAAATCAAAGGACGTCACATTTAAGGACTACCCTTGATAGTTGAACATGCTTTGAAGAAATGCCTGTTCTGCTAGTCAATAGTTCTAACCCTTTTTGAGACACATGTGGCTAATCTATTTCACAGCATTGTAGTTACTACAGCTTACAGTAAAAAACAATAATGTGATTGGAAAATAAAATTTATTCTAAATATAATTTTGTTGTGTCTTAAATGATTCTTAAAAGATAGTGATTGGTCATCTTAAACGATATTACAATGGTTACAATGAACATACGCCATAAAAATGTAAAGGATTAGGCTCAGCCGATCATTTATTTAACCTGTTTTTGTTAACAATTTATTATTGGTACGAAAATTACAGTGAACGAAAACTTGATACACAGACGTGGATTGGCAAGCTTAATTTCTTTATCATAAGTCAAAACCATCGTAAAAACTATAACACAATATCTGTGTTTATATATTCGTAGGTGAATTTTTTCTATAAGTAGATCTTAGACCAAGAAAAAATTAAATGCAAACAAAAACGATGATCACCTCACCTGTCAATCAGATAACAACTTCACGGTCGCTTTTGGTTTTAATTACCCTTTTTAGAACTTTTCATCGCTTTGAATCACTACCAGAGTATATCCTTGATAGAATTAAATCACACTTTCTTCCCACTTTTCGCTTTTTCCTTTTCCAATCTCAAAATTTATTTCTCGTATACGTGACACACCTTTCGTATTGTCCGCCATTATTTTGGTAAGTCATATCACGTGACTCAGATCCGAACATTTACGGAAATAATCGAAGGGCTTCCCGCCAAAATATAAATCTTATTTGACTAACCCAGTCAAATAAGAAAATGCATTTTTTAGAATGGTCAGAAATGTTACGGAGAGCGTTTCTAAGTTGGAAAACTTTGTCAATACTAGTTAAATAATGCATTTGATAACAATAAGGCGTTAATTTGACAATCTGTTTTGATGAATTTGACCAGGAATATAACTTTAAGTTTCATACGTTAAAACAAACCACGAGAAACTATATATGGATCTTGTTAATAAATGTTAGATGCATTATTTGATGGCATATCATATACACACGTATCAGAGCAAATTATTATTCCCCACAATGATATTCTATCATATATTATTACATATAATAATAATTGTATCATATCAAATATATGTTCATACTACATCACTCTGGAATTCTATCAAACAATTCATAGGAATATCAGTATGATACATGTCTATTGTTTGTATTAATACTTGAAATAATAATGTGCTAATTGTTGACTTAAACTCTTTAAACCATTGATATATATCCTCAAGTTTGATCTTCAAAAGAAGACTTGTTAATAATCTTTTAAATTCCTAGAAAAAATCTGTATACAGTCAGAATCATCATGACTATGTTATTCGCCAAATATCACGATTTTGAAGATTGACAAATACAAATACACCATTACCAATCAATTGTGAGAACCACGTCAATAAGTTTGGTTAAGAAAATTGAAAACATTAATTTCATAAAAAGTGTAGTTTTCTTGTCTATGTAAATATCTTTCCAACACTCATTAATTATTTTCGATGGAAACTTCACATATAACTAGGTCAACAAGATGAACAATTACTGTTACATGTTTGGTTTGAGTCCCACAGAGAACACGACCCTGGAGCACACTCTAAATCATATAAACGATAGTCTACGCATCTAATGAATCGTCTGCAATTATAGGGATGATGGTAAAATTCGCCCGGTTTGTTAAAGAGACAAACATCTGAAAACATATAAGAAAAAGTGTTGAAACAAAAGTCATTGATCAAAGTCAAAATTAAACCTTAATCTGAAGATGATTTTGTGTGACGTTTTTTGTGCTTTTAATTCTGAACAGTATTTTTAAGATTTACAGTCTACGATTTCAAAATATAATTTATGAGCTTGCAATCATATTAAGCCAGTGTGACCAGATTTGGGTTACTTGGATAGGGGTATATGTTTTGATTCGATCAAGTTAGGTGTTAAAGAAACAACTTTCATACATATGTAAGTATGCTGAAAATATAAACATGCAGTAAAAAAATGAGTTAAGCACAAGATACCTATCATGAATCTGAATAATAAGAATACATTTATTCCTTAATTAAGTGAAAACCCTTTTGAAACCATACAGAAATGTTTGTTAACCGTTTCAAAGACTATTACTAACAGCTAAGTATTGACTTGCGTATCAGCATAAAAAAAAACCTCAAATCCCTAAAACTCCAAATCTTAAGGTATACAACACTCTAATGCCTTCGCAAATTTTATGAAGTACCAATAAATACAAGAATGATAGCATTGTTTAAAAATAACATTATAATGGGTTGGTGATTAATAAAGTTTTATATAGCTTATTTTATAAAAAAAAATTTAAAATCCAACGTATAGAACACGTTTCTGTTATTTGTTCCGAATAACACAAGGGAGGTTTTCATGGAAAATATCAGTTATAAACCTTATGTTTACAACATATTTAGAAGTGTTTATAAAAGAGAAAGTAAAAGAACAATTACACTGACTCTGATCGTGATTGTTAAAATGTTGTCATATAGATTGCAAGAGGGTTTTTTGCAAAATAAAGTAAAACATTTGTTGTGAAAATTCACTTAAGATTATACTACATTCGTAGCATCTTCGTGAGTGTTTTCTTTTCTGAATGATTTCATTTAAATTTGTTACATCAAACTTTACTGTATGATACACTATGTTGTACTGATAAATCAAATCATACAATGTAAGGCACGACTGGGTTGTACGAAATCAAATGAAACTTTTATCTAATCCTTTACTCATCTCAATCGCCAACTGACGATTATTGCATTATGGAAAAGTACTGCAATAGGCTGATAAAAACTAATAGTAACTAATAGTTCTTGGCAAACCTACTATTAAAGCAAAATCTGTCTGTTAATTTTCTACCAAAGGGTAAACTTACTTTTCAGAATTCGAAGTTCTTTCTCGGCACTAGATATAATAACATTATTTTTTTCATCTGCAACCACACATCTAATAGTCGAGTCATTCATGGTAACCGGACACTTGTGCTGCCTTATTTCAATAGAGGAAGCTCGATCGCAATCTCCATGTTCATAAATTTTTGTGATGTAATCTTCGAAAGAATCCGATCCTTTAGTTTTATTTTCAATCTTCAACTTCCTATTATTTGCAGGATAACCAAGGAATGCATCACACTTTAAAAGATCCTCCCATTCCGACATTTGTTCTGCTACTATTGTTGTTGGGAGGCGTAATTTAGGGATAGTAGGTACAGCTTAAAACAAAAATGTAATAATGACTCATTTAAAAAACAGGCAGAAAACGATGTTCACTTTTTGTTTAGACTCATTTTACAATTTATATTGCCTAGGAAATCAATGTCATCGTAAACAGCTAAGAGGACAGTTGAAGCGATACTCCAAACCTTCATAATATAAAGACATAAAAAATGTAATTGCAGAAGGTACAAACAATTGAGTACCAAAATAAGTCCATGACGTTTATTTGTTGGGATATAACAAACAAATCAATTTAAAGAGGAGATTCGAGCCCATCCCTGAAAAATAAGAATTATTTCAGCTTCCAAAACACAGGCAACCGATTAGAAATAAAGAAAACAGTAAGTAGCTTTAAGAATGCAAGAAGAGGTTTGACAATACAATAAATAAGATAACTTGCTGACCTATGACTTTGAAATCCATTGATGTTTTCAAAGTGTTGATTCCTATAGCTTTGCATGAATACATGACTTCATTGATGCACGATATGTTATGTATGGTCAGCGTCGTGGTGAAAACTGTACTGTTTTCAGACAGTGTTCCATCCACAGAAAACTCTGCTTCATTTCTACATGCTCCTTCGCCTGTTGCGTTTACTTCACATAGTATTTCTTCGGTAGAAAACCTACTGACAACAACGTAGCTTAGATTTGCTGTTTCAGTGAGGATACATTGAATTGATTCAGTGATTCCTACAGTTCCCGTTTTGCTTTCCTCGGTGAAATATAAAACTGAAATGTAAGATTTATTTAGAAATTCTTTACAGATAACAATATACCAAGGCTAAAATTTAACTAAAATCACTGTGTAAGTCATCCATTATGGTATATAGAAAACAATTGTGTTCATTTCACTTTTGATCATATTTGATTATCATGTTTTTAGAATTCGTAACATGAAATTATTTTTATATATTAAATAGATCATTACTTCAACAAATACTTTACTTGGATCAGTAACATTCAAAATCTCTACATTCGACGACAGTTTAGTTCCATTCGTAAAACTGGTAACACATTGATATCTACGACCTTCCATTTCGTTTTTGACTTCAAATTTGTTCGTAATTGTTTCAACATTTTCACATGTTTCCGGATTCAGTTAAAGTTCTGAACTTGATGGAGGCAATTTTTGAACGACACTATCTTCTGTGATGCTCATTATATGTGTGGGTATACCAATGTTTCCTGTACATTTCAAAATCGCCTCTTGTCCCTTGTAGAACTTATCTTGTCCTAGCGTAAGAACAGGCACGGATGGAATCTCTGGAAAATAATGAAACTACTTTTCCTTCTTGACATAAAGATACTATTTCATTCATTCAACTCGTAAAAAACAAAAACTTTTACAGCTTATGTGTTAGTTGTATGCGATTATAGGCTAAGAGTGGGAAACATTCTACGGATTTTGAACTTTTTCATTCAGACTAAATGTTAGTTTTTATATAAGGTTTCGAATTGTAAAAGTCAAATGCAAATGTTAAATATATACATGTTTACAAGAACCATAACTCCAGCTTATCTTTATCTGAAAAGCGTAGAACACAAGAACCATTACAAAATATATAAATATTTCGTGTAAAAAATTAAACTAAAACAAAACAAAATGCAAGATATTACATTCATTTTTAAGTGCACGGTAATTAAACATACTTTTAAATTCTATGCTTTCCGACTCCATCACCCAGCTGTCACCAATTTTTACAGTACTTATGTATTCTATTTCACCGCCTTTCCAACATGCATCGCTACATGTTAAGTTTCCGAATTGAAAAGTCAGTCTTGCTGTCGTATTCTTTATATCACTATCTATCAGGTCAATGTGTTCTTCTATGGTCGGTTTGGAGAGCGTATTATTCTTCTGTATAGAGACAATAGCGATCTCTGTGCCGCTACAGTTTTTTCTCAGTTCTAGTGTACTCCATCCTCGAATATAAGTTAGCTGTGTTGAGATCTTTAAGTATTCGCCTATGTCAACTGTTGACCCTAAGGAAGATATCTGTACTAAAATTGTAGAAGCACGTGTTCAAAAACAAATCTATATATATTTTTAGAGTTGGCTTTAAGATAAGCAAATTAATCGATCGGGTGAATTTTACCCCAGTTTTTTTTACATGATTGAGTGATTGATATTAATCAAAAGATTAATCTGGAAATGGGTCACGATTTCCACACTCTCTGTCTATTCACTAAATGTTAGACATTTTCCAGTTTTACAGGATACAATATTCCACATTATGTTTTATTTCGAAAGAAAAAGAGCTTCCATGATAATGATATTAAATAGAACCTCAAGAAAATTGAAAAACATATGTTATAAACAATTGAAATAGCTAATCGATAAGCTAAAGATATGAAAAAAAAATAAAATAAATAATAACACATGAACTGTACGGTCACTTAATAAATGCATTAATTTGATAATTTTACGAACAATACCTCTATATAAGAAATCATATAAACCATGTAATCAAACAGAAAAAAACAGGGTAGTATTGCGATTGTAAAGGGTATATTCTTTCAAACGATTTTAAATGTTCACTTACTTTTTGTTGTTGTCACATTCAAGAGAATACTCTTTTTATCGCGACTACCATCATCACCACGAGCAATACACTGTAACTCAGCTCCATGCATATCATTTGTTACAACGAATGAAGCATTAACAAGTTCATCAACTTGGCAGCCGGAAGAATGTGTTGCATCAATGACAGAGTTAATATCCTTGCTTGTTTCCTCGTCCTATATAAAAGTAATAAAGTTTCCTTTTAAAAGGAAACGCTTGCCCAGTTGTGCCATCATCCCATCCCTTTAAAATGATTCCTTTTTCAAAAACCTCCTAAATCAACTCTTTATGATAAAGAAATAATTATAAATAATAATAATAAATTGACCTTATATACCAGTAAAAAACAATGTACCTATGTTTTACAGGTAAGGAGGGTCAATTTATTATCATTATTTTTTTAATTATTTGTTTAACATAAAGGGTTTATTTAGTTCTTTTTTTGTTTTGTTTTTTAGAAAAAAAAGTTTCACTTTTAAAGGGGTAGGTAAGGTAACCCCAAGACTGGACGAGCACCTGTGCCCATTTGTGCCACCAGTGATATGCATGCAAATTGTACAAAAGAAGGACCAGAAGTCCACTGATTATAACTGATCCGGAACATGCTGACGATAACAAAAATAACTTTTTTTGTAAAAACGAATATGTTTTTGTCAAAAACGATTTGAAATCTATTCTCTATTGTATAAAATTAATAAAGAAACTAATCATTCGTAAAAATACTAACATTGGCTCTCCCACGTGGAGGAAATAAAAGTATCTATCTGGAAACAAGTGTTCACATTTCATTTCTAGAGAGAGAGTCATTTGTTTTGGCAGTTGCTAATTTTATTTTAATAGCAGCTTTATAGACAAGTCAATGCACTTAAAGACTTCATTACATGGTACAAATTAATATGCATGTATCAACTATGTAACACCTAAAATATCTATGTCACATGTCTATTGATCACAGATATACCGACAACACAGGATGCGCTATCTATAGATCAGCACGTGGTAAGGTTAATAATATGCATGGGCGTTTTAATGACGTTATACTGTAGTTTTAACTCCATGTTAGAATTGCGTTTTTAAAAGTATAAGACACAGATCTAAATAAAACTCGATCGCAGAGCTATGCAATTTTAACTTGTTCGCACTATTTCTCTTTGTGATTCGGTCACGATCTTTTGGTAAATAGGACCGTCCTTTGGAGACGGATTATACTACAGTAGTCATTCTCTATTGTATAACACTAATAAAGACAAAAATCAATCATCAAAGAAACTAACTTTTGCGTCTTGAAAACGAATTGAAACGGAACAATTTTGTTTACAATTTATTTCTTCCTTCTTCCGATAAATCAAGTAAACATAGAAATCCCATTTATATAAACAAACTGGGATTACCGAAGTTACTTTAAATAGCTTAGATTTCCGTAATATTACTTAGTCTGATTCCGCAGTATGAGGGAATCGCCCGAATTGTCACGATTGCAGCGGAAACGTAGACTGGTTTCCCGTTCCATCATGCACTAATAAATGTAAGCAGGAAACCACCTAACCGAAACAAATGGCAAAAATAATACATTTTTAATATAATATCAAGGACAGAGCTGCAAACGTGATTGTGAAATCTGAAAATATCAGCTATAAAATATGTTTTGTTATACGGTGTCTTCTTAAGTTACTTTGTAAAATTATGGCATCATATTCCAAACAATCAACAACCAGCAAATAAGTATTTATTATTAAGTGTCACAATAAGCAGGGCCTAGCACAAAATACACTAAAGTATATTTGTAATGAGATTGAATTTGTATTTGATATAGAATTATAAAACAAAAAAGTAAATTATATTAGGTAAATGTTGTTTCAGAATTAATCGTTCTGATGAAAGTAATTCTGGCTATTTTCACATGTACGGATTAGGGGATGTTACGTCTAAGTCACATTAGTCATAGATACAAAAATAGTTCACCTGTAGCATTCTAATGGATACCCATAAAAACTACAATATTTACGGGTTGTTCCTTTTAGAGTTTTTTTGTAATAAGTGGCCTTTAATACTGACTGTTATTCAACGAATCTGTTAAGTCTGTGTTAAAAGTGAGATAATTACAAGCGCTAGGGGGAGTGGACGGTAATATGCACTTTCCATTAAGGTCCATGCAAAGAACCAATGAAACCGAAACTGCAACATTTTAAATATTGTGAAAATCCCCGTTGTATCTGACAGCATCAAAGAAGACACTACAGATGTATGAAAGATCTTAAATGTTTTGTCATGTAAAAAAATAAGTGGGCGCTGTGGTTTTATGATACCACTGTCTAATTACAAATGTGAGGGTCTGGAGATTTATACCCCACTACACAAACTAAAATTACAATCATGTCTTTCATGAGACTTAAGACTTCGATATTCCGTATAATGGTATCTTACATATTGTAAAAGAAATATCTGGATGATCCTACAACAACGGAATATTGCTTTATCAATGGCACTAGACTCCAAAAAGTAAAATAATTGAGTCGCCTAAAGAAGTCTACGACGCAAAATATGCATTTGTGACGGTGGAGCCTATGTGATCTACAAAGTATATTAACTTTTATTTGTTCGGTTTTGACTCAATAAACCCTATAATGATTTATATATTTACATCACGTGATACAAAATGCTCGAAGTGCATTAGTTACATATGCTAAGGTGTAAAATGAATACATGTACAGAACGTGTCTATGAAAGAGTTACAAAGCTACTCTATATGGAATCTATTAAATTTCTAAATGGGTTCGAAGTAAGTGTGTAAATACAATTACAACAAAACTGAATATTTCACAACACGGTGTTATAAAGCAAATTAACTTCAAACAACGTTACAACGTCCATATGTTATAAAATCTTAAAATACATTTCCTTCTCTTTGAAATACAAAATTGACGATCATACCCAATATATTCTCACAAATATTTCTCCGAGTTTTTTCTCGTTTTCATCTTTACCAATGAGTCCCTTGCACACAACATTGGCATGTTCTCCTTGAACATAGGATGCTGAAGCAATAATTTCCTTCATTTTTGAAGCCGTTTCTGAAACAAAAATGTTCAATCATACGATCCAAAGCATCATTTGTCAGACATTATTCCTTATTTATCCAGTATTTGATCAATTTTGACAGATAAATTAGTTTCTATGCTTAAAAATAGCATGATTTACCTTATTTCAAAAAATGATATACGTCAGTGGTTGTAAAGATTAGGAACTACCGGTATCAATAATATAAATATAAAATGAATATGGTAAGTACTTGATAGTAAAGAGATGTTACCTATCATTTTGATTTCTGTCGACGTATTTTTTTATGTCTGTAGGATCTTGTATATCACCTACAATCACGGCACATGTGTAAACCCCTGTGTCATCACAGTTAGCTGTATCAAACGTTAACTGAAGGTGGACACCATCACTCAAATTTGACACTTTTTCCCGGAAAGTGGTTGCATTATACCGTATACCACTGGTATGGTTGTAAGTGATGCTGAATAATTGGTTTGAAACAGAATCATTTGAGTGGTCAGATCGAGATACCATGACTGTTTGCCAAATAGATGATTCTCTGAGGCGACATAAAATATCAAACGAATCCCCGACGTTTACTGGAGAACTTGTTGACTCCGTTGTTAATATACCTGTAAATCACATTATAGAAACAAATGCATGCCAGTGGTTAGCCGTATGCATTACGTTTGTTTATTAACATACGTTTTATTAGTAACGAAGATTTTGACTGGAACCTAGGTCCAATAAAAATGTTTGTAAATATAACAACATATCATGTAGTAAACAACAAATTTGAACATGTATAAGAATATAGATAGACAGTTTTATAGATATACACACACATTACAGCTTAAATGTATACTCATTTATACATGTATGCCTCATATCTCATGTGGGAATAATTGTACTTTTTTACAAAATGTTTACCATTGACCATTAATGTTAAAAATTTAACTTAGTCCGTAATCAGGAAATGGATGAGCAACATACTTGAAATTGAATCCCACAGTATGGGACCAAGTGTTAATGCTGTATGCCAAATATCAAGAGGCTGTGATAAGTAGTTGCTGAGAAAACTGTTACGAAATATTCCAATCATTAATAATTAATGTCCAAAATTTAACTAAGTCGGTAAACAGGAAGTGGATAAGTGACAGATCTGAAATCGAATCCCACAGAATGGGACTTTGTGTTAATGCTATATGCCAAATATCAAGAGGCTGTGATAAGTAGTTGCTGAGAAAACTGTTACGAAAAATCCCTATCATTAACAATTGTCCAAAATCTTACTAAGTAGGTAAACAGGAAGTGGATGAGCAATAGACCTGAACTCGAATCCCACAGTATGGGACCATGTGTTAATGCTGTATGCGCAATATCAAGAGGTTGTGATAAGTAGTTGCTGAGAAAACTGTTACGAAAATGTCCTACCATTCATCATTAATGTTGAAAATTTAAATAAGTCGGTAAACAGGAAGTGGATGAGCGACAGACTTGAAATTGAATCCCACAGTATGAGACTATGTGTCAATGCTGTATGCTAAATATCAAGAGGCTGTAATAAGTAGTTGCTGAGGAAACTGTTACGAAAATTTCCTACCATTCACCATAATGTTGAAAATTTAACTAAGTTGGTAAACAGGAAGTGGATAAGCGACAGATCTGAAATTGAATCCCACAGTATGGGACCATGTGTCAATGCTGTATGCCAAATATCAAGAGGCTGTGATAAGTAGATGCTGAGGAAACTGTTACGAAAATTTCTTACCATTCACCATTAATGTTGAAAATTAAACTAAGTCAGTAAACAGGAAGTGGATGAGCGACAGACCTTAAATTGAATCCCACAGTATGAGACTATGTGTCAATGCTGTATGCTAAATATCAAGAGGCTGTGATAAGTAGATGCTGAGAAAACTGTTACGAAAAATTTTCCGCACCCGACCGCCGCCCGCCCGCCGCCCATCATTCAACATTCTATAATCCGGGTTTGCACATGTGCAACCCGGCTAAAAAATTGTTTTGATTCTTATAATTTCTATTAAGAACATATTTGCCAACTCTGTAATGAATCTCGATCATAAAACACATTGAGCACTTATATTTGCTGAATTAATTGTTATTGCATGCTACATACTGTATTTCAATGCCAAAGCTAAATTGATATACCTGGTATTTCACATTCAGGTGAACTTTTCCATGTATTGTTTACACATTGACTTTGGTTTTCACTTTTGTTTTTAAATTCAAAGCCCTCCGCACATTGCACTGTAATTGACATGTTGATATAGCTTAGATCCTCACTTACTATGACATGATCAGATAGTGAGTATGGTCCGCATGGATGCACAAAGCACGCTGTTTCGGAATCACTCACCCAAGACCCGTTTGACATGCATTGAAAATTGACATTTGTATTTGCCATGAATCCAGGGTTGCACTGTAACTTTGCCGTTGAGTTGATCGCTTTTTTTAATACATTTACCAGTCCGTTTTGAACTACAGGATTGTCCTCACACACCACAGGTTTGCATGATCCGGATGGATCCTTCATTTCGTTCAAACCGCATACAACTTCCGCTGACATTAAATCATGTACAATGTTTAAGTTTTAAATATTTTAAATGAATTGGGATTTATTAAAAGCATACATAACAAATATGGATAACGAGATTTATGCTACCAAGGGATCACATTTTTCCGGATATTTTATGGACAGCAACGTAATTCACCATCTTAATTTTATCGACAGTTTTGTTAGAATACTAATTACTTAATAAGAATTGAAAAGAAATATATCCCGAGCAAACGAACATTTTATGAAACAAATAATTATTATTAAAAAAATTGAAACTAGGCATAATCATTCCTTTAAATTTATCTTTTCCTGTGACAATAGTGAAAATTTAACCATTTATTATTGTTAAAGAAAAAAATTCTTGCAGGATCGGAAGAATTGCATGGACCACAGTGGTAAAGATATGATAAAAGGACAACAAGGAAGGGCGGCATTCAACGAACGCATCCATCGGCAAGGAGCCCAGCAGGACACTAAACTAGGCAGGGAACACGGGAGGAACGCCAACACAAGTAAGGGCACTGTCCATACCCTAGCGTTAGCAGCATTGAGTATTGGGGAAAACAGAATTTTAATCAATATAAAATTTGAAAATAGGTGTGTCGTTTTTGTCATTTCATCAAATCGCCATATAGACCAAAAAACTACTAAATATGGCTATGATGTTTTGTAACACAGAATCTACAAATAATAAGAATGCATAGGTGTATAATAAAACAAAAGTCAAACTTGATTACCTTTTGGTAAAAAATTCCGCACAATAAAAAATGTTATTACTCCAAGCACAGTTAGGACAAGCACGACACCAACAACTTGAATTATTCTGCACCTATTAGATTGCTTTCGGGGCTTCGTAGTGTTTGGTATTGGAAGTTCATTAATAACTGCGTACGAATGATTTGTTCTTCCGGAACTGGTTATATCTTTATCTTGCCATTCCTTTCGGATATCAAGTCGATTGTTGCTGCCTGGTATCCATAGATTTTTAGAATTATTCAAACGTGATCCACTTTCAAATGCATTTTCATAATCTTTTCCATCAGAATCCGCAGAATCGGCTTTTTGTCTAGTTTTGCTTTTTTCTTCATCTTGTTGTAACATATCCGGATCCCTGCCATAAGAATAATCAGATTCGTTGCGTTTATTTTCGCCGACGATGTTTGAATTTCTTTCCCGATCAATGTTTTGCTTTAAAAGATTGTTTCTAATATTTTGCTTGGATTCCATGCTTTCTTTAAATATATACTAGCCTTTTTCGAAAGTTTTAAGAAATTTAAGGTATTTATGTTAAATAAAATATTAGCCTTAGATCTAAGGGTATCAAAGTAGCACATGAATAGCTTAATTCATGCAGAAATTAAATGAAATGGGTACTTCCTTATTGCGCTAGAAATAATATCATTGGTTGTAACATTTATACGGGCACCTGTGCCAATAATAATCTATAGTGTTATACGTAAGTATATTCCAGACGATTGCTTAAATTTTTTACAAATTTATTCAATATGTTCAGCGTGTAATAAAATGCTATGCTGCATATTTCAGCAACGAATTAGATTTTAATAAAATCATTTTTATTTTCGGGTATGCACAAACGATTGGTTTATAAGAAATGAAGAGTTCTGAATTTGCTGTACATGCGTGCGTGCATGAGTGAGTGTGCGTGCGTGTGTGTGCGTGTGCGTGTGTGTGTGTGTGTGTGCGTGTGTGTGTGCGTGTGTGTGTGCGTTGGTGAGTGTGTGCGTGCGTGCGTGCTTGCTTGGCAAGCAGCATTTCATAATAAGAATATTCTCATTATATAGTTATGTTGTTTCTATCAATATCTGAAATGAAAAGACAATATTGAATGAGTGTAGTTTAATATTAAATTTATTGAACGAGTTGAATAAGATCATATTATGCGAGCCTCTGGCGAGCATTATATTATTTTATTCAACGAGTTCAATAAATTATCTTGAAGATATTCCCTAATACAAGACAGCGTGTGATCAATCGAGATGTATTCTCTGGTGTTCAATCGTTAAAAGATTGTAAATATTATATCAATGAATTCTGAATCATTAAAAATTGTATGTTAATGACAGTTTCAAGTATTTTAATTAATCCTTGATTGGTTATCTCCCGTTTTAAATATTTTAACGGAATAAAGACATTCAGTGTATAATATCATATCGTGAAGACATAGTTAACAGAACTGCCTCTTTGAAGCACTCAAAGCGAGTCTTCAGTAAAATGTACCCCAGGACTTGGAGTATAATTATTCTTCATATAATAAACCAATTAAATTCAAAGATAAATTCTTGTTCTTATTAAAATGTTATTTAATGTGTGATGGCAAATAACTGTTATGCGAAATGTACAACACACGCGTAATGAATAAGTCCTGCCTTTTGGAATTAATCTCGAGTAATGAATATCCTTACACTAAGACTTTGGTTCGAAGAAAAAACGCTTAGATTATAAATAGACTTAAACAAAAGGTTGCTGACCAATGACATATTTTAGAAGAAATGACAAGCTTGTGTTATCTTTAATAAGGTAGACCTGACCTTTAGAAGACAGCACATGCAACAGCCCCATGATGTAATGCTTTTTATAGGAAGAGTTTAATCGTCAAAGTTATAAATATTACAATCAATGATTCAGCTAATGAAATTTCGTAAGTAAACGAATTCTACGATATTTAAACAGTTTTTACAACGTCAACTGTGTATATATTTGTTCAGTGAAAATATTAAAGTAAGGACTTCTACGAAAATATTGATTTAATAGTGTATGTAGAATGTTGATCTTTGCTATATGTATATCCTGTTAGAACCACTTGTATTTGAATTATTTTAAGGATAACTCTTCCAACCTTTTCATTTGATACTAACATGATTACCTCCCATTAAATATCCATACGCCAAAGGTAATTATTAAATTAATTAATTCAAACCGGGTTTTCTGCTACTGATTTTTTTAAAAAGAACTGTGAAATTGCTTTGTAAACTTTGAACCACAAACTGTGTGTGTGTTGCTGTTATATGTTTCAACGTCTCTAAATGTCGCTTATGACGTTAAATGTCACACCATTGCCGATAAATGTCGCAACCGCCGCTTGGGTCGCACGATTTCCCCCTTGCCGTCAAATGTCGCAACACTACCTTTTAATGTAGCAAAATGTATAATTATGATAAAATTTAGCTAGCTAGTGGTATTAAATGACAATAAACATTGAGTAAAAGTATGAATTATTTAGTAACATTGGGACATAAACGATTGTCCCGATCCATCTGCTTATAAAAGATGAAAATTGCTTTTTAAAGCGGGTTGTTCGATAATGGGAATATTTCAAACATTGATAAAAACAAAAGAAACATGTCATTTTAATGTTCTTACAAAATATTTCTTTGAACAAAAATGTTTATTCTGTATGATGTAATATGACATTTATATGATGAATTACTAATATTTTGTTCTACAACAATTTATCATCAACATCCACATATAATTCTATCACACACGATAGTTGATATTATCAACATAAATATCTATGGTATTGCATACTTTCCATATAGACCGTTTCACTTTAAATATCCTTTTTGTTCTTGATTAAAATATAGTATGCAATTACGCTACATGTAAGGTGCATATGGTACTCATCTTTTAAGTACATGTATATTGTTTTGCGTAGTTTTCCAAATTTATAACTAGACTAGTTTCCATCTATCGATGTGGGTTCGAATCCCGCCAGGGACTTGGGATTATTTCATGTGAAGAAGCTATCCAGCTAGCTAACGAAGCATCGGTTGTTCTACTCAGGTTCCTGTTTGGGCACGGATGGGGCACTAGAAGCTTTCCTTCACAAGTAAAGTATAACCCAACCGTGTTGGTGTGACGTTTTAATAACTGAAAACTACTAAAAACTTGCATTTTCAATTAAAAGATCTTAAACCTAATTATGATAAATTCATTTCTTATTTTCTCTTTATAAAAACCTATCAAGAAGTTAAAAGGTTCAAATCAGGTTTTTATTCTATACGCAGGCTTTTGGGGTCTTCATTAGTCCTAATTAAGATTTTATTTTCAACTCCTAATAATATTCTATTTCTCGAAAATAGGCTTTAAAAACTCTTTATTAAGATGTTTGTCAAAGATTAAAATTAGGTATTAATGACAGTAGTGACTATCCATAGTTTTGTGAGAACGATGACGTCGATGACGTACGTTGTTCGGATATGTTTATTAAAACGTAATTTATATAAAAGTGGCTGATTAGTGCCATTCGTGTTTTCGACCCGCGACCCCACCAAGTTAAAATGGCGGACGATCGGAGCGAAAAACACGCTTAGGCGCGGGGGGAGTTTAACAAATTAAACTTTACCCCGCGGGGGCGCGGAGCGAAATTTAAGAAATAAAACGGCGGGGACGCGGGGCGAAGTTTCATAAAAAAAACTTCGCCCCGCGCCCCGCTAATTAGCGTGTTTTCGCCCGGCGACCCCGCCAAGCGAAAAGTCTAGAATCAACACGTTGAAATGGCAGGGGCGCGGGGCAAAAACACGAATGACACAAATCAGCCAACATAATCATTTTATTGTGTATTTTGGTATTGTGTCAGTGATACCAATAATGTAGGATGTAAAGTTCACCCGTGCAATGTTGTGAACTTTTTGACATTCGTTCAGAGTTGTATTTTTTATAATTTGTATTGTTTGTTTTATATGTATTGTTTGATTTTATTAACCTGTCAATTACATACTGATTATATGGTCAATGCATACAATATATTAATTTTCAATAGATTTTGGGTAAGTTCCGTGAGTTGTTCACGGTAAGAATTAATTTAATTTAATTTATTGTGTGTCTATGAAATAGTTATGCGCAATACGGCAAATTACGAGTTTACAAGTTTTAAATGTCCTGAGTGTTGTAAAAGATAGAGAGACCGCGTAGGAAATTTTTTTCTCAACATTTTTTTTCAACACATTTTTGCGCTAAGTTTGTTTTTTATGTTGTTTTAATATGTTTTGCACTATTTCTTGGTAAAGTCATTTGTCTTTTTTAAATAACATTGTTGAAGAATTAATATGTAAAATTCATTCGGATTTAAATCAATGAATGTCATTTCAATGTCATAAGACGCATGAAAATCCAGACAAGACAGTTTTCCAAAGTTGCTTCATATCCATGGAAGTAATTTGTGCAAGCACTAGGCCATTTCCAAAAAAAGCAAAATAAAGAAAGAGTAGGTCTAAAACAATGGCAACAGTAGGATCGAACTACAGACCTCTCTTTTTTTAGGCAGTCACTTAACCGACTGTTCTTTTCACGGATGTGAGGATGGCCTATAATCAAGATGATGTGACTTTTTTAAAACTGAAGTTATGTACTCAATTTTAATTCTTGTAAACTGCAAGACCAGAACAAAAGTGGTATCGAAGATTTAAAATGAGTGATTTCAAAGTAATTCATAACTGACCCATGTTAATAAAAATGTGTTTAAAGTTTTTCTCATTCCGAATCACCTTGTACTTTAACCATTTTCTGGCACTGGGTTGCAGTGGCTGCAAAAGAATAAAGAACAATTAAACCATCTACTATATTCTGGTACGACATGTAGCTTAAATTCATTGTGGAGCAAGTTAATGGGAATTTCAAAACCGTCCGTTGGCTTGACTTAAGGAAATGATATTCTGACAGATATATATATATATATATACCTTTTACGTGAAAAAGATGAATATTTGATGAGGCGATTCTCCAGTTAGAAATTTTATAATCATTTGTTAATATTTCCGGGTCTGAAGGGGAACTTCTAGAACATGATATACTTTTGTATGTTCGGATATAAATACACTGCATTGCTTTATATCAAAATTAATATCACAATATATCATAAATCGTAAATCGTAAACATTTATTAAATATCATTTTACTTCTTACCATAAAAGTGTTCAGATCTTAACCATAACGTGGGCGTTTTAAATGAAAAAATCAGTTAACATATGGTGGCTGATTTGGTACACTTTGCGCGATGCGACAACACAATCTATATCGTTATAAGCATTTTTCGTCTTGTCGTCTTGTCGCTAAGCGCGGCACGCCAAAACTGGCACGTTGTCGTGCGGTGCGTTGTCGATATTGTCGCCCCGTCGCTTGGCTTGAATATAGCCAATTCTTCGATTTGAAGCGAACGACAATGTGACATCGTGACAACACGCCCTACGACATCGTGCTAGTTTGGCGTACATCATTAGCTTCAGGACGACAAGAAAAGTCCCGACAACGTTGCCGTTTTACGCTTGTTCTTTGCTGTCGCTAGCCGAACAACAAACAAAACGCCAAAAGTGTTCCAAATCAAAGCCCATCTTACCAAATTAGAACCCTATATCCTTTTGAAAAATATCT